TTTTGTATGAACCTGTCTAACGCCCTGCCAGGTTCACTGATATCAGAGTTGAGCGACCCAGTCGCGTCGACTTCAACGATATCAGAGCTCAGAATGAGGTTACACCAATGGAGTGTCGTTTGCGCGACATGACCTACGCTGCGCCCATCATGGTCGACATTGCCTACATTCGCGACAAATCCAAGATTGTTCGGAAGAATGTTCCCCTCGGACGCCTTCCCGTCATGTTGAAGAGTTCCATCTGCAGACTTGGTGGGGCCAACAACGCAGAGATGTCACGCATGAACGAGTGTCCTCTTGATCCCGGTGGCTACTTCATCATCAATGGCACAGAGAAGGTCATTCTCATTCAGGAACAGCTGAGCAAGAACCGTGTCATTGTCGAAGCCGACGAGAAAAACAGCGTCATCACAGCATCAGTCACCAGTTCGACTCACGAACGCAAGTCCAAGACGTATGTGACGCTCAAGAAGGACCGGATTCTTCTCACTGCCAACATTTTGGTGGAAGGCATCCCCATTGTCATCATCCTGAAGGCGCTTGGGGGCCTGTCAGACTACGAAATCATGCAACTCGTTGCCGGCGACAACGGAAAATATCAAGACGAGTTCCTCATTCAATTTGAGGAAGCAACCAAGGTTGGCGTCTATACGCAACAGCAAGCCTTGGAGTATATCGGCGCTAGAGTAAAGATGGGCAAAAGTAGGGTCCCCTTCGCCGCGCAAGTCCGAAGAAACCACGTGGAAGAAGCTCTCGACGCCTTGGCGAACCTCATCATCGCCCATGTCCCTATCGAGGGCCTGGACTTCTACCCCAAGGCTGTCTATGTGGCTTTCATGACGCGACGTGTCTTGATGGCGCAAGCCGACCCGAGTCTCGTTGACGACCGTGATTTCGTCGGAAACAAGCGACTCGAGTTGGCAGGACAACTTCTGTCCCTGCTTTTTGAGGATTTGTTCAAGCAGTTCTGTGGCAACGTAAAGAGCAGCATCGACAAGGTTCTCAAGAAGGACAACAGAGCTGTTCCTCTCGATGCCGTCAACATGATCAGCAACCACGCCAACATGATTGGTCAGGGTATCAATCGAGCTATCCAGACAGGAAACTGGACCGTCAAGCGTTTCAACATGAACCGAGCCGGTGTTACCCACGTCCTCAGTCGTCTTAGCTACATCAGCGCTCTCGGCATGATGACACGAATCAGCTCGCAGTTCGAAAAGACCCGTAAAGTCTCTGGTCCTCGTGCTCTTCAGCCCTCGCAATGGGGTATGCTTTGCACTTCAGATACACCCGAAGGTGAAGCCTGTGGTTTGGTCAAGAACTTGGCTCTCATGACGCACATTACAACCAACGTAGAGGAAGCGCCAGTCAAGCGATGGGTCTTCACCCTGGACGCCGGTGTGGAACCTATTCGGAACTTCTCAGGCGGAGAAATGCACCGCGAGACTTCGTACGTCATTCACATAAACGGAACCCCATTCGCATTGACCAGATACCCCAAGCGATTCGCGGGTAAGTTCAGAACGATGAGAAGGCGCGGCTGGATTTCTCCCTTCGTCAGCATTCACATCAACAACCACTTCAACGCAGTCCATATTGCCACCGATGAAGGACGTATTTGCCGACCCTACATCATTGTCAAGAACGGAAAGCCCAAGCTCAAGGAGGAACACTTGAGACTCTTGCAACTGGGCAAGGCCACGTTCGACGACTTTTTAACTCATGGTATTGTCGAGTATCTTGACGTCAACGAAGAGAATGACACTCTCGTTGCTCTCTACGAGAAAGACGTTACCCCTCTTACTACACACATGGAAATCGAGCCTTTCACTGTTCTTGGCGCAGTCGCTGGCCTCATTCCCTTCCCTCACCACAACCAATCTCCTCGAAACACCTACCAATGCGCCATGGGTAAGCAAGCTATTGGCGCTATCGCATATAACCAATTCAACCGTATCGACACCCTGCTTTACACCCTTGTCTATCCGCAAAGACCCATGGTCATCTCAAAGACAATTCAGCTTGTCAACTACGATAAACTTCCCGCTGGTCAGAACGCAACAGTTATTGTCATGTCGTACTCGGGCTACGATATTGAGGACGCGTTAGTCTTGAATAAGGCATCCTGCGACCGCGGTTTCGGACGCTGTCAAGTATTCCGCAAGTACACGGCCGAGCTGCAAAAATACCCCAACGGCCGACGAGAACGCATTGGTGATCCGGTCAACGACGAAAACGGCAGGACGACCAAGCACGAAGCCTTGGACGACGATGGTCTCGCCATTGTGGGCTACAAGGTCAATTCTGGCGAGGTCATGATCAAGAAGGAAACACCTCTCGATACTGGATCCACAGGCATCGGCATGGATCGTGGACCCAGCGAATTCAGAGATTCCTCCATCTCGTACAGAATTGCGGACCCCGCGTACATCGACAAGGTGATGGTGTCCCACACGGAGAGAGAAACGATGGTGGTCAAGGTTCAGACACGACAGACAAGAAGACCGGAGCTTGGTGACAAGTTCTCGTCCCGTCACGGACAAAAGGGTGTTGTTGGAATCATCGTCGACCAAGAGGATCTGCCATTCTCTGACACTGGCCTGGTTCCCGATATCATCATGAACCCTCACGGTTTCCCGTCCCGTATGACTGTTGGCAAGCTGCTTGAATGCTTGACTGGCAAGGCTTCGGTTCTGGACGGACGAAAAGACTACGGATTTGGCGACGCTTTCCGCTCTCACCCCCTGGAACAGATGAGCGCTGCCCTGGTCGATCACGGTTTCTCCTGGGAAGGCAAAGACTACTTCACTTCGGGCATCACCGGAGAGCCTCTGGAAGCTTACATTTTCAACGGCCCCATCTACTACCAGCGCCTGAAGCACATGGTGCAAGACAAGATGCACTCTCGTTCTCGTGGTCCCAGAGCCATCCTCACCCGCCAACCCACAGAAGGTCGTTCCAGAGATGGTGGTCTCCGTCTGGGTGAGATGGAGCGCGATTGTTTAATTGCGTACGGTGCATCCCAGCTACTGCTTGAGCGTCTCATGATCAGTTCCGACGGAACGCAGATTGATATTTGCCAGCAGTGCGGGTTGTTCGGCTACAAGGGTTACTGCCACACGTGCAAGAGCACCAGGGAGGTTACACAGATGACGATGCCCTACGCCGCCAAACTTCTGGTGCAGGAGCTCATCAGTATGAACGTCGGCGTGAGGCTGCAGCTCGCAGACGAGTTCCCTCACCCGAGATGATGAGATGGCGCAACGTGTATAGTACTTGAAGTGTATCACGCATAGCCCGGGATATTGGAGTTTTGACAAGGACGGCGTAGGGTCTAAAAGCATAGATAGCACACGAGAAACGTAGATATCAATCGAGGGTTCACAAGCAATTGATTGGTCAATTCCCTGGGGCACCTTTATACTTGAGATACCTTTCCTTACCAAGTACCATGTATCCTCGTTGGCATTTGTTCAACGTTGTTTCCCGTCTGGACCGATGTCAAAGTGGGGCCATCATCCGGGCGTGCGGGTCCTTCTCCGCACCCCCGGCCATCCTAAGCTTGAGGTACCTGAACCATGGGATTTCCGAAGCTAGAGCTTCACCCCTGCGAATTCTGATCCGTCACTTCCCTCCGCAGCGTACTTGTTCCTGACATCATCCTTTGTGACCGTCGCCTCCGCGTGCTTCTCCTCTTCCCTACTACGTCCAACGGCGCAAATCTCTCTCTTCCTCGCGCGATATTCCTTTAATTTATGACTGCCGCTCTCCAGTATCCATGGCCACCTTGCGCCTAGCTACCTCGCCCGGCGTGCGGGCCGCTACGACGTCGCCGCTGACTTCGCAGCTGTGGTCCAGTGCCGCCGCCGTAAATGCGTCCTCCCCTAGCACAACGAGCAGCGCGAGCACGATTCCCGCCGCGACAATAGCTGCCGCCGCCGCAGCTGCTGCGACTACTAGCACAACGACGGCAAAGACGACAATTCCTCCCCCGCCATCCGTCCTGGCGCGTGCGAGAACGAAGGCCGTTGAGCCGCAGAACCGCTACTTCAACCCGTCCAACGCAACCCTCTCTACCACCGGTGGCGGCCCCAGCAAGAAGCCAGGCGATGAGAACAATGCCAATTTGGGCAAAAGTAGGTCTTTCTTAACCTACCTGAACGATACAGGGACGTGTTGCGCAAGTAGAGGGCTAACATCATCCCAATCAAAACAGCCCTTCGCATCCTCCAAGACCACCTACCTCGGGTCCTCCAATCCCCGCTCCCGCAAGAAATCCTCGCTCCCAACATCTCGCTCCACCTTTTCCCGACAACACACCCGCACCTCCCGACCGTCTCCGGCCGCGTCGCCTACACCGCTGCCCTCTGGACCTCGCCCATTGCCTGGAACCGCCTGCCGCTAGTCGGGAACGTCCGCCTATCCATCGTCTCGGAGCGGGTGACGAAGCAGCCCCTCCATTTCGCGCCGTTACACCCTGGTGCTGTCCCGGAGCAGCTCGTCGTCAGGTGGTGCGCATCTGGCAAGAAGAATGGCGGCGGGGCGGCATCTTCTTCCTCTGGTGCTGCGACGTCGGAAGGAGGGGGCGTGAAGGCGGAAGATGGCGGGGATAAAGCGTTCACGGGGCTCTTCGTGTTCCAGTTTGATGCTGAGGGCAAGATATTGAGCCATACGATCGAAACGGTGCAAGAGGGTGGCGACTGGGAGAAGGGTGTCGGTGCCAAGGTCGTCGGGCTGACGGATTGGCTACTTGGCGGGATGCGGAGGCAGGGAGACAATCCTAGCCCTGCGTTTGAGGGTCTCGACAAGGACAAGTAGTGAGTCTGGATCTGGAATGGTGATGGTGTTGTAGATAGTCGGGCGGAATGGCGCAACGGAAACGGCGTTTCGGATGTTTGTGGGAACATACCAATTTCATCATTAGGCGGGCGGCATAGCAACCCTCTCCTCTATTCATATGTACAACAGCTGTATCATCAATCTCAAAGATAACCCTGACCTGTCAACTCTAAAACTTTCCGTACCATGCAGAAAGAGCATTCACTCCAGTGAGCATCAATGGGCCCCTCCTAAGGGCGCACTGTCACGACAGATTTCTTGCCCCCCTTCTCCTCGTCTTCTTCGGCATGACAGGCCATAACGTCAGCCAGATCGCCCTCCCTGACCATCAGAATCTGCGTGTCCGCGAGACTAGAACTCGTCACCGTCGTCCCCAAAATCCACCCGTTCCAAATCTTCTGCATGATATTATCCGGACTCAACATAAGACACCCCTTCATCCCCTCCTCGTCCCTCGGCGTAACAGCAACCATCAGCCGCTTCGCGCCCGCGAACCGATCGACAACGTGCCACAGACACCCAAAGATCTGATCCGACTCCTGCTCGGGGTAATGCAGCTCCTCAAACGCGCAGGCGACGTGCCGCACGCGCCGCGTGTCCTCCTTGCGCAGGAAATACACCATGGGGCTGTTGAAACCGTACTGGTCGTAGGCCTCGAGCTCGCCGACGAGGTAGAGAGCGTCGAGGGCGAAGTTGAACCAGACGCGCGGGGGGCGGGCGATGGGGGTGTCGGAGAGGAGGGCCGAGATGCGCCAGCCGAAGGCGAGTTCGTAGTGTTTCAGGCCGAGGGCGCGGGATTCGCGGCTGATGAGGAGGATGAGGGGGCATGTTGGGTTGAAGATCCGTGTGTCTTGTTCTTCTTTGGTCTCTGTCCCTGTTACCTCTCCTTCTGTTGTACTGCCTATTGCTCCTTCTCCTGTCGCTCCTCTCTCTGTCGTTCCTCCTTCTGTTGTTCCTTCTCCTGCTAAGCCTCTTTCTGGTGCTGTATTCGTAGGAGAATATGAGTAGGGGGAGAGGGTGCGGGGTGCGGCTAGGGAACGATTCGCAAACGCTTCACGCCGGGCGGGCAGCCTAGCATCGCGCTCGAAGCAGCAGGCCGTCACGACGCGGGGGGCGATGAGGTAGGACCATATTTTGAGGCGGATCTCCGGTGGCAGGTCCGGGAAGCGGTGAAATTGCGGAAGGGTCGTGAGAGACGCCGCGCGTGGGGCGTCAAGGCCGTCGTCGAAGAGGGAGAAGTCGAGCCAGAATTTGGAGTCCGAGGTGCGTGCTTTCAAGTGGGCTTCTTCGTCTTGTAAGGGGGGAGGTGGGCTTGATATTGTGTCTGTTGTGGGAGCTTGGTCGATGTCCATTTTTGGTGGTGAGGGTGAGGATTAAGATGAGAGAAGATTCGGGTTTACGAACGTGTGTAACGTCTCGATGAACGTCGGCTTGATGGATGTGAGATAAGGAGTTTGGTGGGATGATTTGGCCCACTCTAGTGAGACCCTCGAGTGAAGGGAATGAGTTCTTCGGTCAATCTGCCTAATGAAAGTGAGCGTTCAGTTCCGAAAATGAAGAAACGCCCTTCTCTCATAAAGACGGTGAAGGACGATGTTCGAAGTGTGATGAGGTGAGGTGAGGTTGCGGAGAGGGTCCGGCCGCCGGAGCTTCGCGACCGCACCACAAAACACACAGCCCACTTTCCTAATCGGGCCAACTTGGCCACCTCGCCTCGGTGTTGCGCAGCGAATCAGATTGACATTCGCCGCACCCAGACTTTGACGAAGCCAGCAGGTTTTTCATTCTCGATGAAAGGAATGGTTGGATTTTCCTTGTTTCTCTTCGCCACTCTCCGACGTCAAGTGTTGTCAATTTATTGGTGGGGGATATAGATGGGAGACCATATAACAAAAGTGCTTTGATGTTTTGACAAACAATGTTTTATATATTTATTCCATAAACCTCTTCAACTTCACATTCGTTTCAATCTCGCTACAGATAGAGTGGGAAGCGTTTAACCATGATGCGGCAAGTCTAATTTATCAAGGAACCACTCCGCCTAGAGGGGATATCCAACTCCCGTAACCTGTAGAAAATAACCAAAAACAATCAACAAATAGTTCCACAGCTCAGCCCATATAAATCATTCTTAACCTACTCCAAAGTCGACTCCCCGCCCGACAAGTGCTCCCTTCTGATATGCTTGGCATTGCCTCCCTTGCGGAAATAGCTGAGCAAATACACGCCCTCGTAGATTTCGTTCTGCCTTTCATCCTTGCCCTCCTCGACTTTGCTAATGTAGACATTGCCAAGAAGCGAAGCCGATATCGTGCACTGGAAGGCATTATATTAGCTTTATAATGAAAGTAAGCTAGCTCGAAGCTCGGGACATGACATACAAGGACCATGAAGGGGCAGATGGCAACAAACGCCCAGACGACGCCCATCTTGGCGTCATGGGTGATCTGCTGCTGTGTGGCCGCCGGCAGACGGCTGAGGGCCTCAAAATCTCTCAGGGGCGAGTCCTCACCAATGCCAGAAGCATTGTTGAAGACGGTCGTCATGATGGTCAGGCCCAACGTTCCGCCAAAGGGGTAGGCGACTGCCATGAGAGAAATGACGGCTGCGATCTTCTTGGGGAAGTAGCCGACACCGTGAAGAGGGACTGGACTGAGGATTAGTCTCACTTCTAATGATTAGAGGGAGTATGAAGAGAGGAACACTTACCGGGCATGATACGAAGACCGGTTCCGACACCGGTGAGAGCCATCATCCCGTACACCGTAGGGTTGTGCTCTGTCCAGAGGGCCCATGCCAACAAGCCGATGCCAAGCATTTCGAGAATCGATCCGAGAAAGATGGGCGGGAATGTCTTGCGCGGCCAGCCGTTGCACATGAAAGCCGAGGCGTAGACACCAACTACAGATTTCACTCGTCAGCAACCTCTTGAGCCACGAATAACTCTGGAGAAATTTACCTGCCAAGCCCGGAGTAAAGTAAAGCAGTTGTACGCCAGACTGGTCCGCCGACCAAAGCTTCACCATTGTGAAGTAGATGTTGCAAAAGTACAGAACAGAGTACATAGCCATGCCCGTCGCGAAAGAGGTGTAGAACAAGAGGCCAATGTCCCTGTTGCGGACCAGCTCCCACGGTATCATTGCCTTTTGCCACGGGAAGCGGCGGGCCAGGGCCTTGCCCGGGGACATGTGGTACTCCCAGACAATAAACAGGATGCTGATCACAACGCCCAGGATGAGCGTCACGAGAACGGCGGGGCTAGTCCACGAGTATGTGGCGCCGGCCCAGGTCAAGCCGAGAACCAGGAGACCGAAACCAAACAGGAAGAGGAGCTGACCACCAATGTCGATTGTCTGCAGACGCTTTTTGAAGGTTGTTCGTCGGCCCGTCTCGGTCGTCTCGTCGAGCTGCGGGATGGGTTGCGGCCCGAGGAGTTCGGAACGAAGGACGAAGTAGAGGATGAACATGCTGACGAAGGCGATGGGCAGGTTGATGCCGAAGCACCATCGCCAAGAAGAACCGCTCGTGATGTACCCTGGCCGTCTGTCAGTTTTCATACCTCAATGACAATACAGTGTCTGGAGTGGCTCACCTCCCAGGACAGGGCCCAGTCCCCATCCCAACACACCTCCCAAGAAGGAGAAGATGGCCCAGTTCTTGGCGTTTTCGCGCAGAGTCACCTTGTCGGCGATAACGATGCGGACGAGGACGTTGAGGCCAGCACACGCCAGGCCTTGGAAGCCGCGACCGAGCAAGAGGACGGGGAAGGCATCTGTTGGGGCACCGGTGCACAGCGCACTACCAACAAGCATCAGGACCAAGCAGGTCTGTATCGAGACGTGACGTCCAAAGATGTCGGCGATCTGGCCCCAGAAGGGAATGAATGCGGCCGATGTGAGGTTGAAGGCTGCGATGATCCAGTTGAGCTGGCGAGTCTCGTCTACGCGATTGTTAGACATGTAAGGGGTAGTGAAGATGGGTATATGGAGTCAGGGGCTTACGAAAGTCGGCTGCAATCCAGGGCAAGGCACTGGCGACCTTTTAGATCTCGTCAGCTGTGTTACATGTTTGAGGGCGCCAAAGCCAGAACTTACGATTGTCACGTCCAAGGCTTGGACTACAAAGGGGAGTACTAGGCCGGCAAAGATCTTGACTCTGTACTTGAGCTGGGCCTTGCGCTCAGACTTGCATGTCGGGCAGGGTCCAGAGGCCGGGTCGAATTGGTGACCGCAAGTCGGTGTACTTGAAGTTCTCTCCAAGGGAGTTTGGCTGTTCTTGTCCTGGTAGGTTGTGTTCTCGCTTGTTGATCCCTCTGTTGCTGTTGACTTTGCGGCTGGTGTCGTTTGCGTTTTGCTCGAACCCTTCATAGCCCGGTAGGCTTTCTTCCCCAAGTAGATGAAAACCATGTCGAAATTGCCTCTCAGGGGTAGAACGGGTTATTGATGTCTCTTTCGGTGGAGGAGTCGTTGTCTAATGCTGCTTGTCTGAGTATGTACTCTTGTAGTTGTTACGATGATGTCTGGCAGATTCGAACTTAGGGGTAGGATTAAAATGCTTGATTGAATATCGATTCTATATGAGCTTGATCTGGGGGGACGGAGGTGTGATATAAATCCTTGCCAGCGACAGTCTACTTGATATCCAGATACATCATAGGTAGTTCACTCTGAGACAGGGGCTAATACAGAATAACCAGACCGGAATGGGCTTCCGCGGAGGCTGGGTAAGACGAGCCCTCAACCCGTTTAGACGAGTGCGAATGCAGACAGCGATGGAGGCAGCCCGTGAATCTTCTCGAAACGCTCGCCGAGATGTTCCCTCTTCCGCAGCAACAGCAGCACGGAGATAGACGAAACTTGGGCTTCATGACCCACACAACACCCGCAGGAAACGGAAGCAGGTAGGCGCCAAATGCACAGCCCATAGAAGACGACGACGACGATGACCAGGTATCTAAGCACCTACGGTAGTCGATGATTGGCGCCTTTGCGATCATGCTGGTGGAATGGGTGTGGCTCATCGGTCCCGTTGTACACGCATGAGACTAAGGATTAAGGGACCTTCAAGAACCTTGGAAGACTAAGGTACCCTAAGGTAAACCATTTGCGGTTGCCGGGCGTCGTTGGAAGATGGTAGAGAGCGGCAGGCCGGGAGGAGAGGACAAGCTCTTGCCAAGGCGGGCCAAGGCAGCCCTGCCTGTACCTTATCGATGGGACCGGGCCAATCGATAAGATGTTAACAGCAGGCATGTATCCACAAGAGGGAAAGCCAAGAATTAGGCGAGTGCGAGGGTTGTGGAGATGGTTCCAATCCTTTGGATCTTTCTCTGGATCACCCTTACGAATTTCTACTTCTTCCCACCCATCCAAGCCCCACGACACACACGCTCAGCTCGTGGATTCAACCAAATCGCGACTAGTCGCATTCATGATGCATGAGAGGGAAGAAAAAACAATGAGACACCTGCAGGATGTCATCCTCAGTCATTCCCGTTTGTTAGGCACGTAGTACGGACTGACCATAACCAACTTATCCGCACGGTCGGATACCTGACCATCGTGCCGCTCGAATCGAATTCCCAAAAGGGATAAAAAACACCCTAAACGGACTGCGCCTGTCAGCACCAAAGGCCTTATGCGCCTCGCATCGTCGTCATTCGGAAGTCGGCACAAGAATGCCACGACGGAGACCTCTGAGCTTTACCAAGCGTCGAATGGATATCCTCTTTGAGACCTTCGTTGGATGCATCAAAAACATTCACCTCGATTCTGCTCTTGAAAGCCCACATTGGATGGCATCAAATAAATTATTACTTGGCGACCGGATGGCGCCGTGTTGGCAAATGCTTGTTGCGCTGAGTGTCAGCCCGTCATACGGAGTATCCTTGACGCCGATCCGTACTCCGTACTTGTTTCCCTGAGATTGGACGAACTGACAGATACGGTACAATATGGACCCATGCGGGCTGACACTTTGAGGCTTGGGGCAACGGCCAACCTCGACCTGATTGATTATCGGGGTAGTGGAGCAACTTCAACTTCGTGCCTAATTTCCGGCTGATTGAGCGACTCCCCAAACCATCGGCCAAGTGGACCCCGCAATCAGCCTCCTCGAAAGTTCCCATCCATGTCAACTTCTTCTTCAGCTCCAAGTAGTGTAGCAAAACCTTCGCCCTCTTTCTCGCGAGTCGCCGGCGGGGGCGGGCGGCGGCAGAAACGGCACCGGGCACGAAGCACGAGGCACAAGGCACGGGGCAACAGGCGGGCACGAATCAGAAAGTCAATGCCATGCCGCTGCCACGCGCAGTTCGTCTAGAGTCGGTGCGGTCAGTCTCGTCAGTCTGATTACTTTTGCTTCGCCATAAGCTTAACCCCCTCAAGAACTAAAACGAGGCCCACTGAACACGCACACGAAGCTTTTTTCCATTTGTTCACTTCCCAGAATGCCGGGACGCCGTGTGTCCGATGCGCCTTGCGATATGCCTTTTCTGCCTTTCTTTGGGGTTCAATAATGGACAATTAGTGATCAAACTAAATCTATTTGCTAATACCTTAAAGCAAACTCCACATACCAGCGCCCATCAGCGAAATTGTTGTTACGTACGCGTGACGGTGGGATGAACGACGTGATTGTTGTACGTTTTCTCAGTTTCTATCTTGTGGCCTACTGGCTTGGGTCATTGGGGTCGCCAAACATCACAGTCTTTTCACTCTTGCTTCATCCTGTGGGAACTCGAGTCTTTGAACTTATTATGCACATCGTGGTATTATTATTTACATCGCAGTATGAGTAATCTGCTTTAACAGCCCTACGTGAGCCTCCTCTCCACCCCCGAGTCACCTAGATCGACAAAACCAGGCGAGCCCACTTTCATTGCGACCGCCTCTTTCGTGCGTATGTGAACGACAACGGCAATGGATTAAAAGTAACAGACTTAGGCCAACCACCCTCTAGATTTATGCCAGGGTGTACCAGTTGGGAAGAGGGTCCTTCTTGTCCCAGAACCTGATTGTGACATCGCAGTTCTTGTAAACAGCGAAGCACTCGTTGGCACCACCAAAGGACGTGGGAAGAAGGACCCAGTACGCCTTGTCGTAGTTGCCAAGGTTGAAGTTGTACGTCAGGTCGACAAATTCAGAGTTGCTGGCTCTCTAGTTAGTAAAACAAGCACTACCAATTACTCCCACCTAAGATGATGGAGGGAGAGACTCACCCCGGGACGGAGTTGACCATGGACTGGAACTTTGCGTTCATGACACCACCGTGGAAGCCGTCCACGTAGTATGTCGAGCCGACGTTGGTAGGCAGCTTGTGGCCCATGTGGTGCTTGGCCTTGCCGCAGTTCACGCTGGTGATGATGTCGCACTGGACCGCCGCATTGCACATGTCAGCCAGTCCGAGGACGAGAACCAGCGCAGAGGCGACCTTGGAAGAAGGTGCGAGAAGTGACAGAGAAACCATTGTGAGATTTGTGAGAGAAGGTAGTTGTTGACTAAAGAGTGTAAGTCAAAAGAATATGTGATTGAAACAGAGGTGATGATGTGACACTGGGGGTTGTCTTGGCGAGATTCGGACCTGTGGTATATATTTCAATATTCTCGGCCTCGGGTTTGAAAATAACGATACGGCGATTGGGCAACGGCTTCAAGGCACCATATCTCGGGAAATGTCATTATCTCACATAATCTCCATGACTTAGTCTAGTCTTTGTTCGATATTGATGCACTTTACGTGCTGATATTATTTCTCGTTGAAACTCAACGAGTCTCTCGACAGTCTGACTCGAGCAAACCCGAGTAACGGTCAGCAACATTGAGCAGAATTAAAGCCATATTGTGTAAGAATAAGGGCAGATCGGAATACACGTGCCAGAACCCTGGTGAAGTTTGATGGTTTTCCAGTCTAGAAGCTCAAGCTAGCATGATAAGTTAATATAGGTGCGAGTCAGTGTTTGGACCAACATCGTAATTATACGAACTTGTCAGAGCTTCTGTCTGAGCTTCTAGAAACTCTAAACATGCTTGCGGGAAATAGACCGCTGGTTCAACCATTCAAGTTGGTATGTGCTCGCGCGATCCTCACTTTTCTCATTTCAACACGGTCAGGTGCGCAGCGTGCTAGCAGCGAAAATCCAAACTCAATTCCGAGTCAGAGCAACTCATGTGAGGGCATTCGTTAATCTTTGCTATCTGGACTCCAGTACAGACTCATGTTTCGACGGCAGGCAAGTTCCGAGAGCGAAAGTGCGGGCGAAGTGGGATGGATAAGGAGGTTGAGGAGGTTGAGGGGGTGAGGAGGGTCCACGATGATGGAGAGGGGGATTCAAGCTTCGTGAAAAAAGATATAATAAACGACAGAGCTTCATGCTTAACGACAAGCTTTTCTGCCAAGCATCGCTCACTCCGGTTCGCTCTCTCTCCGCATTCTTCTTTCCAAGTCTCCTCACACAGACCAAGCTCAATCCTTCCAAGCCACACCTTCTTTTTTTTCACCTAATCAGAAAATCTGTTTAAGCTTCTAAACATGCTTCGTTTACTCTCTGTGGCAATGGCCCTTGGCCAGGTCCAAGCTGGTGTGGTCTCCCGCCTGGAGTCGTCCTCGTCCCTGGACGGCATGTCATCCCTGCTCGAGAGGGATGCGGCCGACCTGCCGACCTACAAGCCCGAGGAGGCGTTCGACTACAACAAGTGGACGCCCGACTCGGCCCTCTACGAGGGACTCCCCATGATGGACAAGCAGGTCGAGATCGACGGCAAGCAGTTGACCTACCAAGACTTCAATATCTCTGCCCTCACCACGGATCAGTTCAAGGCGCACTACATGAGCCTCCCCGAGTACTTTGACTCCAAGGGCAACTTCATCCCCACGGATGAGGAAGTCAAGGCTTACCAGTGCGTGATTCCCCTCTACTGCTCATCACAGGGCATCATAAGATGGTTGGAATTGTTTCCCACTAACACTTACCACCATAGGGCATCCATGGTTGCTCTCGCCAGCAACCCCGACTCGGAAGTCCACGTCCCCGCCAGCCATGTCAGCAAGAGAGCCTTCCCTGATATGTGCTTCTACGACGACAGGCTGCGATGCTCCAGCAGCTGCACCAACTACGTTCACCGCGGTGTGAGACAGTCCTTCAACAACAACGTCTACGGATACTACCACTACGTCTCGGACCCCCAGTGTGGTGTCGGCTCCATCAGCAAGACTGTCTCCGTCACTCACACCTCCGCCGTCACCCTTGGAGGCTCCATTGGTATTCCCGGAGTAAGTTCTTCCTCTCCCCTCTGAAAGAGAGGCCCAGTTCTCACCAGGGGTTTCTGCCATTTCATCGAAAGCTTGTGAAATTAACCCAGGGATTCTAGTTCGGCGGTAAGAACACTTGGACCAAGGCCGTCTCTACCTTCCTGAGCACTTTTGGCCTCAGCATCAGCCATTCTCCTGACAGGTTAGTTGCTCCCACAAATCTCCCCGAGATTTTGAACCTATGATTAACTCACTTTCAACAGTGTCACCACCGGTATCAGCTACTCCGGCACCTGCGGCGCCTTCAACGTCTGCTTCCTCTGGGAGAGACCTCACTTCAGCGTTGACAAGGGCGTCATCGTCGTAAGTAAACCCGCCTTTGGTATCTATCGAGGGAGAGCTGTTCCTGACAAGGAAACCAAAAACCAGACCCAGTACATCGATGCCAACTCCAAGAGAGCCTGCCAGGCCCCCACCGTCACCCCTTACGAGGTTCACGCCGTCCACACCGACAAGGACGCCGGCGGTGCCAGCGCCCACGGACTGTGCTACTCCATGGCCTACCACGGATGCGGTGGCCGTCCTACCGCTTCCAACCAGATGATTCGCTGCCCCAACAACTACTAGATCTTGAGTAATATCAAGTCGATACAGTTGTGGTGGCGGGAGTCGTAGCAGTGATGCTAGCGGTGTAATAACTGCTCTGTCCTCGGGAGTCTGCGCTGACCGTGAGCGAGATACTTTTGAGTCTCCGGTAGCCTGTTATGCGCTCCCTTAATATGAGATTCAGGCAGAGCGTGGGTTACGAATTGAGCCTCATGACGGACTTGGGGTTATGTATATGCTTATGGTACATATGGGAGAAACACCGTAGTATCGGGAATATGCGGTGGAAATGGAGGCTGGTTTTCAGTTCAGTATTTAGGATTCCAACACTTAGATATAGTTGACATAATAATCTACCTCGTGTATGATTCCAATTTGACAGAGGCGCCTGATTGATGACCACTGAGTAGATTTGGATGTTTGCTGTGAGTTGAGAGACTGTATCACGTAGACAGCATTATGTGAGTGAAATCGAAGTTCGAGAGCCGCAAGTACATCGATGAGCCACTCGGCCGTCTGATAGTAGAGGGCATTCGAAAGATACCAACCTCATTGCTTGTCTCTCATTCATCGGTGCTGTTCCGGGCGCGAGCTGAGGAGTGGAAATTACATAGGAAATGAGATTGTGCTTATACAAAGCAAGAGCGGTACAGGCATAGGGAGGATCGGCAATCAAAATGAGAAATGATTATCATTTTTGAGTGAGAAACTTACTCATTGCGTCGTTGCCGAAGTCCCGAACCGTCATGTCATGTAAGTTGAAGTGGGGCCGGTTCCGTGCCGGAGCCGAAGGGCCCATTACTCGGTGTCGTGAAATGCATCTACAGAGAGAGCCGAAATCGACCAGCTTGTGGCCGGACAAGAAATCGTAGTTCGATCCTACCACGGTGGCGACAATAGAACCGCATTGCCTATCTGCGTTGTTCCATATCGCAAAATCAGAGACGTGAGCACATATTCCAAATACATACGAAAGTTCCCAGGAATCCGGCTTCACAGTAGGCACGAAAGTGGATGTGAATGAGAGCTGTCATCAGACATCAGGCAACTTGGCGCAGAGCTGGATGCCAGATGCAGATGGCGGGGAAAAGAAGCACTGGATGCTGTGTCACCAGCACCCGACCTCATGGCAGCTTTTCCCCACAGGCGAAGGGTTCCGCAGCCCCGGAATTTTCTCGGTAAGGTGCTGCCTTTGATGATGGAAAGGCAAGTTGACCGGACCAACCAGACGAGAGGCAAATGATGTTCCTTTGCGTGTCAGCTGGCAGCGGCGGCAGATTCCCCAAGGCCCTTCGGGCGCATGCTGCAGGTGACCCGGACAGACGGCAAGTGGGTGACCAAATCGCTTGCCGCTCTATCGGTACGTATCCTCTCTAGCTCTTTTCCTATTACTTCTGTTCCTTCTATCCAAATTCCTATTCTTCCTTTCAAGAATATCCTCCAATGAATATACAAAAGACAAGACTAATAGCAGAAATAATATGAAGAATAAGAACATTAGGCATACTGAACAGGTAAGTAGGCGTTACAATCTTGTTGACTTCCTATTTGTCGCCCACTTAAACGGTTTTCTTCCTTCCCACTGTGGACCGTTCACCAAGGTACCTTGGTACTCACCTCACAGCGGGGCGGCTGCTTGCGGTCCTGCGGTCTTGCCAGATGGGTGCTGGCCCAATTTGGGAAACCCAAGCACCCCCGCCAGCGTCCTACATCTTCCAACGTCCTTTGATCCGAACAGCAGACACGCGAGGGGAGGAGATTTGATTTACCATCGGCAATCCAGAGGTCGACCACAAAGGGGACTGGTTTGGTTCCATTCTTTGGCTGGGTTTGGTCGGCCGGCGGCGTTCGGCTGGTTCGGTCCAGGCCGCTAATTTGTGAGCCACTTGCGCTTCCCCGACCGACGCCAGGCTGCTCCATCTTCTTCGTCCGATGCATCTTGTACTTTTGATGAGTTGTGTCTGAATTGATCTCTAGGTGACCTCGGGAAAGTGGAAGAGATTCGTGAAGGAGCGAGAGGCTGGAAGCTGGGCACAAGACAAAGATGATTCGGCAACTTCGCCAACAACTGATGCTTTCAAGAATATGAAGCTTGAAATGGAGCCTTTTGCATCAACTCGAAGGTCATATGTAGTAGACATATTCAGCGACTAGCCGTTCTTCAGTGACAAGCAGCATCGTCATTGCTAGTGTCACCTGAGCGAATATTCTCCAACACGACCGTGAGGGGTTGTTCCTCATTCCCGGAGCAGATATAGCATGAACCAAAGTCGAGCAAATCATTGAACTTGCCCAACTCAACCCGGACTCTTGAAGAAGCGCCGGAAAAAATCCTTTATCGACTTTACGAACGACCATTGAAAGACCAGGTTTACTTCTTGTTGCTGATCAACTCTCAAGCAGAGGACCACAACCCAAAAGGACTGGCAACTCGGCGACGGAAGAAAACAAGACGAAGAGAAACCCCCCGCACGCCAAACAAACCAACCGGACCCCAACCGCCGCAAAGCGACCCCCAAGGCCCCGGAGCCTGACAGACTTTCCGCTGGTCCTGATCGCCGCCGTACATAGTTGCTTGGCTCACAACTGGGCACATGTCAGTTAGTACACGGTAACTGGGACTCAACCCGCATCCACGATCCAGCAAGGTTACAAGTTTCAGACGCAGTAAGGTACGAATACAGGCTCTATTCAGTTTCTCTACCTCTGTGGCCATTCTTGCATCTTATCGTGGTCGCCCAAGGGAAAAAAGAAGAGACGAATCAAGTGCCGTGTTAAGGAGTGTGTTCATACAATCTTCCTCGTTGGACCCTGGCGCTTTCTCCAATTAATAACTCCAGGTCATCCCGCGGGGGAAACTGAAGTGGACGACGATTTGTTACCCACAATTCCCGGCTTCCCCTCTTTTCTCTCATTCTCTCTTCGGCCCCAGTTCTTCTCTTCGACCTCCACTCGTGGAATGCGACTAGGACTATCTCTCATGCTCCTCAACCTTGAACCGGCGCAACGTCGATGATCAACCTGAATACCGGCATTTATACAGCTGCGCAGGTTTGCTGAAGAGGTCTGCTCCAAGGCGGTTGGGTCATCAGTCTTCGACAACCCACTCATCCATCTACCCATCCAACTTCTTCATCTAACTTAGCCTCCGTGTCTCCCCGGCGTCTTTCACGAGCAAAACCCACGCCAGCACAACCTTCGCACCGAATCAGTCAGCCGCCAAGCGCATTCAGGTGTGTCGCAACTCACAACCCACACACACACTCCCAACCCTTGTGCCCTGGCGCTGGTCTTCCTGTACGGAGTACATACATACACCAAGGTCGCATTAAGCGCATGCCAAACCGGTGCTCGATTCGTCCGTCCAACCAGAGCCGTCCATTGCCACGTTGTTGCGGTATTCCCCTTCGCCCGAAAGGCTCATTCACAATCACCAACGCCACGTCCACGACCCCGTGGGGTTCGCAGCCTGAACCGGCTCAGCCAAGCACTTTTCCCCAACCCCAAGTCTACGGATACCAAGACTCCAAGAGTATTACAAGACAAATCATCTGCGACCTGCGCCTGCACCTGCTTGTGGGGCCTGACGTCGGATTTCCAGAAGCGCCCATCGCCTTCATTGCATCACACACCCTTCACTAACTCACTCATCACTCACTCACTCACTCACTCGGTCATCCTCTCACGCACCCGCACACGCACGCTCACACTCTCTTCTTTCCCTCCTTCCGCGCCGCCGCCGCCGCCTTCATCGTAGCCGACAACCCGCTCACTCCCAGTAACATCGAGTCGCATCCCGGAACTAGTCCTCGAATTCTATTTCCTGCATCCCCGTCATCCTGCCTCGACTTCTCTTCACTTCTCGTGGTCAACACAGTCCCTTACAGTAGTAGCCTGTGGATACTATTGACAATCCGATTGTTTGAAGTGTAACGAGGTGAGTGACAGGTGCCCATACTGACCTGTGCCTCTGTGTCTCTGCTTGTCCTCGTGCTAGACAGGTCCATCTGACGGATGCCTTCACCGGGGACGACCAGGCACCATGTCTTGACCAAAGAGCCAGCCATCTCTAACTAAGCTACTGTACAGAAGTCAACTTCAACTTGACAAATCATCAATCTTGCCCGCAATTTCTTCTCTACGCCAACTACGTTCAACAACTTCATCTAAAAAGATAACCAGCGGCCACAAACAGCTGGTTCGACTGCGCCGGTAGGTGACATTGCTTTCCTTTCCCCTGTCTTGCTTCGTCTTTTATCCATAAAGTCTCGGCAGATTACGAAACTGGCCGCACCCATATTATCATTTCGCATCGGGCCTGCGGAGCGAGTTTCACAAGCCAAGCTCCCCTCTGCCTCCCAGGGCCTGACCCAGCCAGCACGGATTTCCCGAAGTGCCAGTCCCCTCCCCGTTTCCTGTCTTCCGCCAGCCCAATCAAGCGCTTGCTTCCGGCCTTGCGGTACGATGCCTCAAGACCTCTGTTCCACATGTGAAAGGTCGTCCTGTTCCCTCGAGATGAGACCCCGGGACCCCAGAGTGAACTGGTATCTGCATGCCAGCCCCATCCTAGTCGTCTTTGTGGGGGGTTCCACTTGATCCCATCTCGTCTGTACTTCGTACCTATCCCATCCGTCTTACAGATGCGCCTCTCTCTCAGTATACTAGTGCCTACCACCCTGACTTCACTTTGTCAGCCTCTCCCTCTCTCCTCCGAACTTCCTTAGGCCCGTCGATATATCCCTAGTCCATTCCCCTTCCTGTAGCCGAGCTGTCTCCTCTTTTCTCTCTTTCCTCCCTCCCTATCTATCACACTATCCTCGGTCGTCCAGATCTTGTAGCATTGTCTAGTGTAATGCCACCTTTTTGCTTTCAAGACTGCCACTATTTCTACCGCACGGCGCTGCGCGGATTAAACATCAGCACCAACGTCTCGCCTCTCTACGCATAAAGAAAGGACCTACCCTCCGCTAACAACCATGCCCACTCAAGTCAGAATCTTTTCGCGACCTAGGCCACTCGGCGAGACTCTCGGGAAGGCCATTCCTCCTTCCTCAGTTCCCCGTTCCATCCCAGACACTTCAGATCTTTGGAAACAAGTCGAACCGTCAAAACCCAAGCAGAGCACAGAAGCCATCCGCTCTATGGCAGTATACACAGACAAGTCCGTCGAGGGCGGTGTCACATTCGCTGCCCAGGAAAAGCTCAAGCATTTGCCTATCCCCGAGTTGGAAGCTACCGCGCAAAAGTATCTCACTGCCCTGAAGCCGTTACAGTCTGCGCGAGAACATTCGGAGACCAAGCAGGCGCTACAGGACTTCCTGAAGCACGATGGCCCGGCTTTGCAGGAAAAGCTGAAGACATACGCACAGGACAAGACCAGTTATATTGAACAATTCTGTAAGCCCATCTGCATCCATTGGCTTAATCTTGACTGACATCCCATTTTTAAGGGTATGATTCATACCTAAACTTTGATAACCCGGTTGTCCTTAATCTCAACCCGTTTTTCCTGCTGGAAGATGATCCCACTCCTGCAAGAAACAACCAAGTGACCCGAGCAGCGTCGCTCGTGGTGTCGGCCCTGGAGTTCGTGAGAGCAGTTCGCAAGGAAGAGTTGCCCCCAGACACGGTTAAAGGCCAGCCTCTTTGCATGTACCAATACTCTAGGCTCTTCGGAACAGCACGTGTACCCACGGAAAATGGATGCCAAATCGAGCAGGACCCGGAGTCAAAGCACATTATTGTCATGTGCCATGGCCAATTCTACTGGTTCGACGTTTTGGACGACAACAATGATCTCATCATGAGCGAGAAAGATGTTTCCATCAACCTGCAGACCATCATCGACGATGCTGCCCAAACGCCGATTCAGGATGCGGCTAAGGGGGCCCTTGGCGTTCTCAGCACGGAGAACCGGAAGATCTGGTCGGGACTGAGAGATGTCCTGACACGTGAGGAAGGTTCAAACAACGCCGACTGCCTGGGCATTGTCGATTCGGCCCTTTTCGTTCTGTGTCTCGACTACACTGAGCCGGTTGACGCCGACGCTCTTTGTGGTAATATGCTGTGCGGCACCAGCTTGGTCGAGAAGGGTGTGCAAATCGGAACCTGCACTAACAGATGGTACGACAAGCTGCAAATCATTGTATGCAAGAACGGTAGCGCCGGAATCAACTTTGAGCACACCGGTGTCGACGGTCACACGGTGCTGCGGTTCGCCAGCGATGTGTACACGGACACCATCCTCCGCTTCGCCCGGACCATCAACGGCCAAGCCCCGACCCTCTGGGCCTCCACCAGCCCGGACCCGGCGAAGCGCGATCCGGACAGCTTCGGCGAGGTCAACACAACGCCGCACAAGCTCGAGTGGGACATGAACCCGGAGCTCAGCGTCGCTGTTCGTTTTGCAGAGACCCGTCTCGCCGACCTTATTGAGCAAAATGAGTTCAAGACGCTCGACTTTAAGCACTACGGCAAGAATTTCATGACCTCGATGGGCTTCTCCCCCGACGCCTTTGTGCAGATGGCCTTCCAGGCCGCCTACTACGGGCTCTACGGCCGTGTCGAGTGCACCTACGAACCCGCCATGACCAAGATCTTCCTCCACGGCCGCACCGAGGCCATCCGCAGCGTCTCGGACGAGTCGGTCAACTTTGTCCAGACGTTTTGGGCCGACAACCCAGCCGAGCACAAGGTCGAGGCCCTGCGGAAGGCGTGCCAGCGACACGTCAACAGCACGCGCGAGTGCGCCAAAGCAGAGGGTTGCGACCGCCACCTCTACGCCCTCTTCTGCACCTGGCAGCGCTCCATGGACGATGAGCTCTCCGGCAGCTCCAACGGCTACTCGAGCCCCATCGACGCCCTCTCGGAGCAGGACGTCAGCGAGTCCGCCGTCGGGAGCCCCGGCCGGGATTCGGTCCTCTCCCTCAACGGCGCCGAGCTGCAGTCCTCTTCTACGGGCCGCGCACGCGGCGACAGCACCAACTCGCGCAACGGTAACAACCAGGCCTCGATGCCACAAATCTTCGCCGACTCAGGCTGGGACAAGCTCAACAACACAATCATGTCAACATCAAACTGCGGCAACCCCTCCCTGCGCCAGTTCGGCTTCGGCCCCACGTCGGGCGACGGCTTCGGCATCGGGTACATCATCAAGGACGAGAGCATCTCCATCTGCGTGTCGAGCAAGCACCGCCAGACAAAACGCTTCGTCGACACGCTCGAGAGCTACCTCCTCGAGGTGCGGCGGATCCTCCGCATCACGTCCCGCCGCGGCACCGGCGGCGCGGGCATGGGCGCCGCCAAGCAGACGCGCGCGCGCGAGCTCGATCTCCAGGCGAGGCCGAAGCCGCCCAAGGGAATCAAGTCGCGCGGCCGCCTTATCACGGCGCACGACGCCATCAAACCTTCTGTTGCGAGGTCTTCGACGGGCACGCAGTCGCCTACGGAGGAGAGTGTTACGCTTAGCGAGGATGACGAGCTTGGAGGATGTAAGTTGCTCTTTTTCATTCCGTTCCCATTCTATTTGATGACTTTTGCTAATACGTATCGCGATTTAGACGGCTTCTTTGACGCAGGCATGCTCCTCCAAGCACTGAAGGCTCGCGGAGAGAACATGGATCCCGGAGAGACGAAACCCTCTGAGCGTGCGGCGGTACAGGCGCGTCGGAGGGAGATAGGGAAGAAGCTGCGGCTGATTGACTACTAGCGTTGTCCGTATGGACGGGTGGAAGCATCGTGGGACCGTGACTGCGCCGTATCACAGGGGAAAATGCTGTGGAATCTGCTGCGTGTGTGAGTTGATCTGTGTTGGTATACACGTCAGCAGAGCAAGGTCTTTTTTGGCCAGTACGAAGCTCGATACTCGTATTTTGAAGCGTGTAAATAGGGATTTGAGGAAGAGGTTTACCCCTTTGGATACATAGCACGCGAAGGAGGGAAGAAATCTACTTTGGACTGCGTTTCCAAGTCCCAAGGCTACTTGTCACGCAATCGAGTGACCTCTTGACATTTCGCTACTTCTACACCGTTTATTTCCCTTCTTTGGCAGCCGGTTGTTCTCGAGGCATTATAGATCAGCGAGCCATTCTTGGGTTGGCCGCCTTGCAAAGGCGCGGATACCGCCTCTGGGGAACATGTCTGTGGTATCTTTGCGCTTGCTCGAGGGAAGACATTTCCTAGTGAGTCTAGATCCAAATTATTCTCGGGGAGTGTTCTTCTCCGTCTAGCATGTATGCTCCATAGAATCTACCTTGAGTAGACGTAGTGGAGACGTAGCAACAGAGGTAGTTGTCATTCAGGGGTTATACTTATTCGTTGACCGGAGCCTTGTTTTTATCGCCGACTTTTGATACCATCCTTGGTTTATTAGTCCACAAACGTCACGCCAAACTGCTGTACCTACTATGCCTGCTGTGCCTGCTGTGCCTGTTGCGTGTCGAGTACGATCTTTACACGTTTTGAAACTTTGTGAACCGCTCTGGAACGTTACTCAAATCCAGAAGTGTAAACGGATCAGTTTTCTCGATTCATCCCAGAACCATGCTCAAATATCATGGAAGACGAAGGACGAACCAACCTCTCGAGTCTCATTAGCCTCCGTTAAAACCAAGAATTTCATGCACATATTTCTTTGTAAGACAGCAACCTTCATTAGGATATAAAACATAAAACCCGAGTCTAATACAACCCCAATACACCAAGTTCACTCTGAGCGAGTGGTTCAGGTGGTCGCTGCTATCTGTGTAGCGAACTACCTCACCGCTTCCATGGCGAAGAAACTTTCCCAAACAAGATACACAAAATTATACACAGGAACACAAAAGTCTCATGTCGTAACAACGACGATCAAGATTGACACAAGCTTTCACCGCCGCACACACGCAACTAGGCAAGCTCGTGCATCTGCCCCTTGTGCCCATCGCCACTCGCAGGCGCCTCGTGAATCGTCGGCTGTGGCTGCCCACCACCGCCAAACTGCTGGAAGCCGCCTTGCGGGTGATTCGGGCTGACGGGTCGCGTGCTGAGGCGGTTGCTGTGCGTTCCCTGAGACATGGCACTAGGGCTCGTCGTGTCCGCGCGATCGGGGACCGCCATGTTACCGTTGTAGTAGGGTTGCTGGTAGCCGCCGCCCTGTTGAGGAGGGGGAGGGGGCGTGCTGCCATAGTTTTGCTGCGGATATCCGCCCTGGCCGTCGTACTTTGGCTCGTAGAAGGAGTGCGTCTGCGTTTGGGCGGCATACGGTGCCGGCGAGCCTTGAGGCGCTGGAGCGTAGCCCATTGGTGGTGGCTGATGCTGTTGCTGCTGGTTCATCATGGGAGGTTGGCCGTGCGATCCGGGTCCGGGTTGCTGTTGCGTCTTCTTCTTTTTGCGAAGGATGAAGAAGATTCCAAAGCCGATGAGTGCGATGACGGCGATGCCGCCGATGACGCCTCCGACGATGGCACCGACGGGGGTCGAGGACTTGTTGTTGTTATTGTTGTTGCTCCCGCCATTATTGTCATTGTCGGGAGAGGTAGTTATAGAGGGCGCGGACATGGAACCACTGGCGGTGCCTGTGATGACTCCGGAGCTGGCTGGCCGGATGGCACTGCTGGATGTGGTGTCGTCTGTCAGGGCGAGCGGTGTCCAGTTGCGCGCCGGTCCGCCGGCGTAAGTGGTCGTCGCGGCTTGCGGGGTCGATATATCTGCCGTATTGCACCAGTAGTCAAAGATGCCGTCTGCAAAGGAGATGGTGTTGCAGTATGGTCGAGCAGTGTTGGTACTGAGCACGATATTAGTCTTTTAGAGTACTCGTTAAGTCTGGAGAAAGAACCATCTTCGAGATCAAACATACCATTTCAAAGTAAAGCGATCAACAAGACAGCCGCCATCGCAGAGACTAGACGACGAGACCTGTTTAGAATCGTAACATGTCCGCCTGGCACCACAATCACTGGCGTCACAACATGCAACTCGGCCAGGGGTATTTCTATTCACCGATGTGAAGAAGATGCAGCTGGCGGCGGTCCCGCATGTGTATGCCGCGCCGGCACGCCCAGAGATGTAGCCACAAGTGTTATCTGGCGCAACGAGGACTGTGGTTGTTGTTGAGGATTGCCTTTTCCTCAAGTCAGCGTAAGCGGGGGCCTTGGTTGGCTGAGGGCTGAATTGGTCGAGAGGAAAGTTGAATGAAGTGGTAGCCTGGGGGAGTCCATAGATCTTGGCATTGGCAATGCTCGAGAGAGCCGCCAAGCCAGCGAGGGACTTGAACGTGTTCACCATGTTGCTTGAACTTTGAACAGGTTTAATGAGACTGGCGAGGGCTTGATACAGTATCGTGCGTCAAGTTGACCTGGGGGAGACCAAACAAGACAGAAGAGAAAGGCAACACCGCTCATAGAGCGGAAGGGCTGAATGCCTTGATTATAAACCTAGCCCTCTTTGTATTCCCGTATCTGTTTCCATCGTTGTTGTTCCACAAAGGGTGCTCTTGGGGCACTGACCCAAGGTACGAGTTGTCTTGATAGTGAGTTATGAGGTGTAAGCACCGCCCGGGACCGGTTCATGCTTGGATTGACTTCAACAGCAGATCCGCGAATTGCTCAGCCCTAGACTAGCTAGGAAGTTTAGTTTTCTGGGAGGATGGGCTAGTCAGGCATCTGGGGTCTAACCAGGCCAATTGCAGAAGAGATAGATCATTGTGGCTTGCCAAAGCTGAATAACAAGAGTGCTTTTAGCGTGGACGGAAAGAGAGAAGCAAAAGCCACTGGGACTGCTGCGCCAAGGGTGAGCATGAAGAGAATGGCGGGGGTGGAGACAAAGACAGGGCAGAAGAATAGAAGTTGGGACAAAGTGTTGTTGCGCAGGGAGGATAAGACGTCCCAGAAATAGCAGATTATTCGGTCCTTAGGAAGATACTTCACCACGGAGTGTAGCCAAACTGTAGCACAAAAGACTTGCTGCAAGCGCCGTCGAATTGATAAGACTCGGATGAGGAATTGGCGGCTGTCGTGCAAGTCTGGAAGCTATGGCAATACTGTTGCCTAGATCTAGGGTCTTCTCGAAGAGCATATGATGAACCCTGATAAATGGGCCAGTGGGGTCTTGTTCCCTCCCAAGAGGGCGCCGAAGGTGAAGATCGGATCCTTCCTCTCTGGAACCGAGAGTGCCATGATCATCAGACCTTGCCGTTGGAAGTCAGGTTTCCCGTTGTTAGCGTATTGATCGGGGATTATCCGGTGTGTGAGTCTGACGCCCTTTAGGCCATCGCGGACTAGCTTTCGACGAAGGTATGCTGCACTAGTCCTCTCTCGCATTGGCTAATTAGACAAGACCACCGCCTGAAAGCAGGCTTCAGCCTCGGGCCTGTGCTTGTTTCCCTAGGTCAGGTTCAGATAGGAAACGGCCCCATAGCTCAATTGATTTCGGAATCAGTAGCTAATATGCAACTCTTTGGTTTTCTTCGTTGCCGTGTGCGTTGTTTGCCTTGTGCTTGTTTGTTCCAATTGCCCAAGCGGATAGCTAGCGGCACCCGCCTAAACACCATCGGTGCTACAAGATATATGCCCCGTCTGCCATCTGTTTCCAAAGCGGGCGTGCGAAAGAACGTGTTAAGAACGATCAAAACAAACCGAGAACTTGGACAGGTTGGCCGGAATTTTGATGGCTAAAATGGCACCATGGCCAGGCAAGTCGTTGAGAGGCACAGAGTACTAGTAGAGAGATGCTTCGGGGAAGTCTACAAGAGGTGCAATGAGAGAGGAGGCATGAACTCTCTGCTAGCCTCCTGCAAAGCTCTTATCGACACATTGCTTAAAGCTCCTTGATGTTGGGAACATAAATCCATGGGGCCAAATATGTGTCTTTCCTCGGCAATTGCAACTGCAATCGTTAATCCATCAGAATGGGCCCCATGCTGTGAATTAATAAGCCCCTTTCGGCGGTCACGTTGAACCGCAAAACAAGCTCTCCACTGCCGTCGTCCAGCACATTGCCGCCCAAGAAACCAAGACAGAGACAACTCCCTGCCTGAGTTCGTTTCCCTAATAAGTAGTAACCTTTGGGTCATAATATAAAACAGTGTCAGATCTCTACCTAGTGGTTGCGCAGGTGTCCTGCTGCTTCTTTGGTGATCGCTATGGGAATCGAATCCACACTCCGCAGAGCTGCCAAAGTGACCTTTGAGACCGAAGTTTAAGGAAGTGGCCCCAGTTTAAGATGGAGATGTTCCATCATGGAAGGTGGACATAACCTAGTATGGAAAGAGGGAAGAAGGCGGTTACCCATGAGGAGGTTGGCGCTGAAGAAGGGGTCACCCCTTGAAGGAGGGAAATGAAGCAGGGTGTGAACTCACGTAGATTGTAGATGAGAATATTGTCAGAGTCGTGCCGCTGTTGCTCAATCGTCGTACTGAGGCACAGGTATATCAGGGTTAAGTACCTCGTCAATATGTTTGAGACTCTCGACAGGCAATGCGCCCTCTTCCTTCTCCTGGTGGGCTGTGGTCTTGTCAACGTCATGCGCCAGGAGCATGGGTAAGTCAGTGAGAGTAGCACTCGTAGCGAATAGATTTGGTGGCCGCGGCAGGAGTAGGGATCACGACGACGGCGAGAGTGAGGTTGACAACGGCGGCGAAATTAGGGTTGGTGGTAGCGGTAGCTCGACTCTGTAGCTGACGCTATGTATTAGTCAAGGTAGTATGGAGAAGAGAGAACGAGATCGATGTACACTTACATTAAATGGCCGTATTTTCCTCAATCTCTCCACAGTGATCATTCAGCCGAAAAGTTCAAACCCCGGCGGCAAGAACTTCGAGTGCCATGGCGCAGGCAGGCCTATTTGTGAACACCACGTGGACGACTCCGCCATGCCTTGGTGGTCGAGGCGTCTTTCACCTAAGGCCATTCTCATAGGCCATTCCCATCAAATGAATATGAGCATGGTAATCTTCAACGCTATCTT